AGAGCAAAAGTGAAAGAGTACAATATTGCTAAGAATCAAATTTCCTACAACTTTTGTTCTAAAAATTTTTTTGTAATATCCTCCGAATCTCAAGTGTTACCATCACCTACTAGTAAAACAACGAAATTCATCAAATTTTCATACTTTGATATTTACCTCGATATCTATGCATCTGAGAGGAAATGTGATAGATAGCGATATTGTTAAGAATTAAATTTGCTACAACTTTTGTTCTAAAAATTTTTTTGTAATATCCTCCGAATCTCGAGTGTTACCATATCAAATTTTCATACTTTGGTATTTACCTCGATATCTATGCACCTGAGAGCTAAAGTGGAAGAGAGCAATATTGTTAAGAATCAAATTTGCCATAATTTTTGTTCAAAAAATTTTTTTGTAATATCCTCCGAAACTCGAGTGTTTCCATCAGCAAATAGCACAACAACTAAATTTATCAAATTTTCATTCTTTGGTATTTACCTCGATATCTATGCATCTGAGAGTAAAAGTGAAAGAAAGCAATATTGTTAACAATCAAATTGGCTACAACTTCAATGTACCGCAACGGCTTACACGTTTCAACGCTACATTTCGTCTTGATAGATCTAACACCAACCTTTATCAAAGCTCTCCATTAGTTCGAATTCTTAATTCCTATAACCAAGGCTTCAACCATGTACCTCTCTGTGACGTTTCCTTACACTCTTTTAGAAAATATGTACTAACTAATGTATAGCGGATGTTTTGTTGATCGCTTTATCGTTGTATTTATTTTAGTTTATATCACAATTTTTTTTTATATTAATTTTCGTTATTATGAGGATGCTTTGTTGGGGATATTCTCCCCGTATGCATCCCGAATATGTAATAAATAAATAAATAAACGGTTTCCTGCATTTCCTGCATGTTTTGATAAATTTCCCAATACTAGAGAAACTACAATAAATAGGTATAGGAATGTTTATAGATAAATTGTAGAGAATTAAAAAAGAACTAAAAATTTCTAACGAACCAGTTACGCGAGACACCCTGTATAATGTTGTATAGAAAACTTCACAAGATACTTTAACTGTTGTCAAAAACAACAGATAATTCCAGTCAATATTCAAAATTTCACTGTATAAGCCCGACTTATACAGGTTAGTCCTTTTGAAGCAATACTGGGCGTCTCGGTATACAGGTGTCCCATAATATATTCCGGATCAGAGCATTATACGGGTAAAGGGTACATTATTCTGAAGCGATTTTTCTAATCGCGATCAAGAACTGTTTCTTTGTGTTTTGAAAAAGTCGTTTTAAACCACGAGTATTTTTGTAGTATAATGCATATTGCGTCCATTGGGAATCAGCTAGTTTTTTCTTTTGTATAATAAATATACAACATAAGAAATAAATAATTAATTAATATAAAAGAAAATACGTTCCAGTAACTTTTCGAATCCTTCAAAAACCTTTAAATTCTCATTAAACGCTCATTATCGCACCCCAATGCTAACGAAATCGGTAATTATCCAGTTCATTTTCGACCTGTTCGTAACCAACATCGTTTTCTTTTACGTAATTGAATCATTCAAACCAAAATCGTCTAAAACAAGTTTACGTGATGGATTTAAATCCCAAAGAAGAGGTTTTATCATCGTCAAGAGAAAGTTCCCCGATAAATTACGTCGAAATCGGTCGAAACAAACCCGAAGTAACTTTTCCAAATTACCAAAATCCACATCAAAATTTATCCCATCAACCGTGGATTCAAAACTCGAACGTTTTTGATGTTCAATTGCATAATAATTATTACGCGAACGATGTTTATATGCAACAACAAAATCCGAATTACAATTTTATTAAGTATAACAATAATTCGCCGCAATCAACGATTTTGGATTACCACGAAGAAACCTCGACCTCAGCATCACCATCTTCGGGACCGCCGAAACAAAAAAGAAAAAGAACCGCTTACACAACACATCAATTAGTTGAATTAGAGAACGAATTTAAGGTGAATAAGTATTTGTGTAGAAGGAGGAGGGCGGAGATTGCGAAAACTTTGGATTTGCCCGATTTAAAGATTAAAGTTTGGTTCCAAAATCGGCGGATGAAGCAGAAGAAGGAAGACGCGCAGAGAAGGGCGAGAAATTTCGAGAATTTATTCGCTAATAATCAAATTTCCGAGCAATATTCGGGGAATCAATACAGAGTTTTAACTTACGGCGGGAATGGGTCGTTCGTCGAAGAAGTTAATTCACCGCATCTTGCAGTGCATAACGACGTTAATAATCATAATCTTACCGTTAATTCGAATCAATCGGTTCAAAATCATCAAATCGTGACACCAAGTGTTAAAAGTGAGATTGAGGCGCAAGTTACCGATTATATTCATTATGATATGTAAATAAATTAGATTTTTATTTTTAATTTCTTTTAATTTATAACCTAAAATGTCAATGTCAAATTTTATGTTTTTCCTAATTTATATTATGTTTTGTAAGAATAAATAATGAATTTGATGAAAATTTAACGACGAAGAAAATGTTAATAATTATCTGGATATAGACGAAAAAGATAATGCGGATGACGCATAAGATGAATCAATATCAATTTAATCAAAACCTTTCAAAAATACATATTTCTGAGAACCTTAATTGAACAAATTTTCATACTTTAGTATTTTTCACGATATCTATGCATCTGACAACAAACGTGTACTAGAGCAATATTGTTAAGAATCAAATTTGCTACAACTTTTGTTCTAAAAATTTTGTTGTAATATCCTCCGAATCTCGAGTGTTACCATTACCTACTAGTAAAATAACGAAATTCATCAAATTTTCATACTTTGGCATTTACCTCGATATCTATGCATCTGAGGGCAAAAGTGAAAGAGAGCAATATTGTTAAGAATCAAATTTGCTACAACTTTTGTTCTAAAAATTTTTTTGTAATATCCTCCGAATCTCGAGTGTTACCATTACCTACTAGTAAAACAACGAAATTCATCAAATTTTCATACTTTGGTATTTACCTCGATATCTATGCATCTGAGAGCAAAAGTGAAAGAGTACAATATTGTTAAGAATCAAATTTGCTACAACTTTTGTTCTAAAAATTTTTTTGTAATATCCTCCGAATCTCGAGTGTTACCATTACCTACTAGTAAAACAACGAAATTCATCAAATTTTCATACTTTGGTATTTACCTCGATATCTATGCATTTCAGAGCAAAAGTGAAAGAGAGCAATATTGTTAAGAATCAAATTTGCCACAATTTTTGTTCTAAAATTTTTTTTGTAATATCCTCCGAATCTCGAGTGTTACCATTACCTACTAGTAAAACAACGAAATTCATCAAATATTCATACTTTGGTATTTACCTCGATATCTATGGATCTGACAGCAAAAGTGAAAGAAAGCAATATTGTTAAGAATCAAATTTGCTTGAATTTTTGTTCTAAAATTTTTTTTGTAATATCCTCCAAATCTCGAGTGTTACCATTACTTACTAGTAAAACAACGAAATTCATCAAATTTTCATACTTTGGTATTTACCTCGATATCTATGCATCTGAGAGCAAAAGTGAAAGAAAGCAATATTTTTAAGAACCAAATTTGCTACAACTTTTGTTCTAAAAATTTTTTTGTAACATCCTCCGAATCTCGAGTGTTACCATATCAAATTTTCATACTTTGGTATTTACCTCGATATCTATGCATCTGAGAGCAAATGTGAAAGAGTACAATATTGTTAAGAATCAAATTTGCTACAACTTTTATTCTAAAAGTTGTTTTGTAAAATCCTTTGAATCCCGAGTATTACCATCAACAACTAGTAAAACAACGAAATTCATCAAATTTTCATATATTGGTATTTATCTCAATATCTATACACCTGACAGCAAAAGTGAAAGAAAGCAATATTGTTAAGAACCAAATTTGCTACAACTTTTGTTCTAAAAGTTCTTTTGTAATATGTTCCGAATACCGAGTGTTACCATTAACAACTAGTACAACAACGAAATTCATAAAAATTTCATAGTTTGATATTTATCTCGATACATACATTTGAGAACAAAACTGAATAGAATAGAATTTAGTATATTATTCAACAAGCGTATAATGGCGGCTGTTACCCACGAAGAAGAAGTTGTAATCTGAGTGGGTAACATCCATTATACGCAAGTTGAATACTATACTTTATCTACAACTATTTAATTTTGAAAAAAAAATCAAAAAAACGAAAAAAAAATAAACTTGATAGACATTTCAGACATAACCTCAATATAAGAAAGCTGTCATTTCTGTTAATATTTTATTTTTTGATTAGTAGGCCGTGTCAGAACTGTGGAATAATGGCTTCATTATTCAACACTTTGTCAGTCATGGGTAATGCGNGTCTCACAAGAATGGCCGTCCCGGAACCCCGACTGATAGTCAGAGAGCACCTCATTGCGAGAAATAAAATCCTTCAACTGTTTATAGACCACTTTTTCCATAATTTTAGCTGATAACAAAATTGTATTGACAGGTCTTTGATTTTCGCATTTTCTCGAATTTTTAATTTTTGCTACTGGAATTATTGTAGTCTTCTTCCAGATCTTAGGAAAAACACAGTCTCTTATAGAAGAGTTCACGATCAGTAAAAGTTGATTTGTTATCAAATCACCACCTATTTGAATAACCTGCTTACTTATGTCATCTTCAGAATTGCCACCCTTTATCTCATTCAATATTCCTTTTAATTCAACTGTATTTATTGGCTTGAGTTCAAAAAAAATATCACTCACATTGTTATTTAAAAACACAGGTTCATATACCATCGCATTTGTGGAATAACTTTGCAAGAGATCATCAATGCTAGATTTCACATATTCATTGAATTTATTTGCGATTTTATACGGATCCATCAATATTTCATCTCCAAAAGACATGCTAGTTTGCATTAAATGCGGTTTGTTGTTAATCGCTTCTGTTATATATTGCCACATTCGTTTAGGGACTCCACTAGCACTCTTAATTTTATTTTCGAAATATGCTTTTCTTGTCTTTTGAATTTCGGCAGTATATTTATTTCTACTGATTCTATATAATTCCCAATCGGATTCAGATTCATTTAATATAGCCTTTTGGTATAGATTATCACGTTCATGCGCCAAAGATTTCAATTTATTATTGTACCACCTATTGTGATTTCCATTGATGTTTATGTTAAACTTTGGTACTAACTGGTCTAATGTATCAACTATATTTTTGTTATAGTTTGATACCAAGTCACTAACTCCACCCGTCATCAACCAATGTAATCCTTCTAATTTTACTCTAAATAAAATAGGATCAAGAGATCGAAGTTTTCTGAAATTTCTGTTATAAGAGTCTGTAATATGCTGTGTTATTTTGTTATGCTTGTATATATCTATAATAAAATGATCAGATATTCTTGGTTGATTCAAAGTCGAAGCTTTCCATTTATCACAATTTATAAAAACCAAATCTATACAAGTTTGACTAATTAATGTAATTCTAGTGGAATCATTAACAATTTGCTTAAATCCGTACGAACTCATTCAGCCAATCAGTCTTGATGCATACGTAGTATCACTATTCACGTTTATGTTAAAATCACCCAATATAATAGTAGATCGCCGGAAGCTTTGTGACTGTAAAATGTTACATGCGCAAATTACTCACTAAACATACAGGGTTATTCACATAAGATTTTTAAAAAGTTCAATATCTTCGCAATACATTAAGCTAGAAAAACCAAATTTGGTATACGTTATGAGTGTACCAAGGGTATTAATTGGTAGCAAATTGAACTCAATTGAGGCATTTCAAAGGGTTGATTAAGGGTGATGGTACCCTAAATTTTGATAGATTTTTTTAATCTTTTGGTAGATTTAATACATTGCTACTTCATTTCATGCGGAATTTAATTCTAAAACTTTTCTTACTCTTATTATATTTTAAAAAACTTCGTCGTTTTCATAGAAAACTTAAATAACTAAACCCACGTATTTCGTAATGTTGCTAAAAATAAGCGAAAATTCAGTAGTCAGCTGTGAAATTGTACGTCAAACTTGACAAATAGGTTATAAAGTTATTTGACGATAAGGTTTTATAACCTATTTGTCAAATTTGACGTATAATTTCACACCTGACTACTGATTTTTCGATGATTTTAAGTAGCATTAACGAAATTCGTGTCTATAGTTATTTGAGTTTTTTATGAAAACGACAATGTTTTTTAAAAAATAATAAGAGTAGAAAAAGTTTTAGAATTAAATTCCACATGAAATCAGGTAATAATGTGCTAAATCCACCAAAAGGTTAAAAAATCTGTTAAAATTTAGGGAACCATCACCCGTAATTAACCCTTTCAAATGCCTCAATTGGTCTCACCTTGCTACCAATTAAAACCCTCGGTACACTCATAACGTATACCAAATTTGGGTTTTCCAACTTAATGTATTACGAAGATATTCAATGTTTCAAAAATTTAAGACCCAACTTTGAAGGCCTATAACTCCTCAGGAGTACAACTTAGTATAGAGATAAGTTGTGTTAAATCGTCTTAATTTATTGTCCTCTACATGTCCCTGTTCTGTGTCGGTTCTTATGTGAATCACCCTGTATATTGCGACAATTCTGTTGTATGACAGAATAAGGGAAAGAAAACAATATTGTTAAAAAACAAATTTGCTACAACTTTCGTTCTAACAGTTTTTTTATAATACACTCCGAATGTTATGTTCCCGAGTGTTACCATTAACAATTAGTAAAACAACGAAATTCATCAAATTTTCATACTTTGGTATTTACCTCGATATCTATGTATCTGAGAACAAAAGTGAAAGAGAGCAATATTATTAAGAATTAAATTTGCCATAATTTTTGTTCGAAAAGCTTTTTTGTAATATCCTCCGAATCTCGAGTGTTTCCATCAGCAAATAGCACAACAAGGAAATGTATCAAATTTTTATTCTTTGGTATTTACCTCGATATCTATGCATCTGAGAACAAAAGTGAAAGAAAGCAATATTGTTAAGAATCAAACTTGCTACAACTTTTGTTCTAATAGTTTTTTTGGAATATTCTCCGAATCCCGAGTGTTACCATGAACAACTAGTAAAACAACGAAATTCATCAAATTTTCATACTTTGGTATTTACCTCGATATCTATGCGTCTGAAAGCAAAAGTGAAAGTAAACAATATTGTTAAGAATCATATTTGCTACAACTTTTGTTCTAAAAATTTTTTTGTAATATCCTCCGAGTCTCTAGCGTTACCATTTCCTACCAGTAAAACATCGAAATTCATCAAATTTTCATAGTTTGGTATTTACCTCGATATCTATGCATCTGAGAGCTAAAGTAAAAGAGAGCAATATTGTTAAGAATCAAATTTGCTACAACTTTTGT